AGATATATATCTTATATCGCCGTCCAGGTAAAAAATATCGAGATATGAATTTTGGGTCATATCGCCCAGCCCTAGTCTGGAGCAGGTCCGGAGTTTTTCCTTCCCACTGTCACCAAGTGCTTTCTAATACAGACTGTCTGATTGTTGGGGTTCTCTCCTTATTATTGAAGGGTCTTTGAAGCAATGTATATAATATATATATATATATATACACTTATATATATTGTTTTATATATCTTTTGGTACTTTTTCTTGTCTTCTTTGCACTGTGGACGAAACAAGGCCAGAAAGTATCAGGGCTGAATGTTTCTGATTTGATTCATGCCTTTGTCTCCCTGTAGTAACCTGCGAGAGGCAACCGGGGTGCAGATCAACATGCGAGTAGGCGTTCACACGGGCAACGTGCTCTGCGGCGTAATTGGCTTGCAGAAGTGGCAGTACGACGTGTGGTCAGATGACGTCACCTTAGCCAACCACATGGAGTCCGGAGGTCTCCCTGGGTGAGAGACGCTTAAAGTCAGTTTAAACATAATGAAACTCTGAGCTGTGTGTATTTTATTATTTCTACTGTTCATCTATAGGCGGGTCCACATCACAGAGGAGACGCTCCAACACTTGAACGGAGCGTACGAAGTTGAGGATGGGGACGGGGGGAGTCGGGACCATCTTCTGAAGGGCAGAAAAACATACCTGGTGATTGACCCCAAGAAACCACACCGTCCTCCCAGGAGGCACGGACTGGTAGGTGTCTGCCCGTCTGTGAGACACGGGTCAGGTATTTCTCCAAAAATATCAAACAAATGTGAACTTCATCCTACTCCTTTCCAAGTTTATAAACCATGTGGTAAATACAGATATTCACAGAAGCTGTTTGTTTTTTTCTTTTACTTTGGTTTTCAGTTTACAGTGTGTTATGTTTTTATTTTATCAGTCAAATTTTCGTAGTATTTTAGATCCCTGGTAACCTTATTAATACCCACATTAAATTTTCCTGTTAAAAATACTGCAGCCAATCAAGCTGAAACACCTTTCATTTCCTCGAACCTTGGAAATCCCAACTTCTGACTTCAAATAAAACACGTGTTTGTCTTCTTGTGAATTTCTTTACAAATGCGGGGAAATCATCTCAAAAGGTCTCTAAGTATACTCGTGAAAATAGCCTTCACTGTTCCCGCTCACATGACCCGCGACTAAACGAACTTGTGACACGTGGTCTTTAAAAGGCAGAAGGTGCCAGATTGAATCTTTCGAGTGTTTTCTCGCTCTTGTGCCGCGCGAGAAGATCAAACGTGTTGTGCCTCATTCCATGTTAGGAATTTCTGCTGTGTTTGTGCCCAGCTTAAGGAATCAACACGTTGCTGAAATATGTAATTTCACAACAGCAACCACAGTGTAAACCGTTACGTGTAAAAAGGGAAGCTGTTAGGAAGATGATAGTGGTGTCCCCTCTGGAAACCCTCTGTTGCATGTATTGTATCTGTTAGGAAAATGAATCACAGTTCAAATCATGTTAAGCTGTAATATTTGCCCCAATTTCAGCCCAGCCATCTTACACCAGGGGAGAACAGGCAGCGAGCGTCACTGCGGATGTCTCAGTACCTCCAGTCCTGGAAGAGCGTCAACCCCTTCGAAGGCCTAAGCAACCCCGAGGCCAGACGGCCCAAGAAGTCAACCACCGTACGTATCTGTGCATTTGTGCTGTTGCTGCTTAGTTTCTCCCTCAGAAACGCAGCGTGTCACATCACCTCCTTTGCTTGGCCTCTAATCAGCGTTTCATTATTAACTCCATTGTGCATTTGAATAAGGTGTCAATCTATTTCTCACTGTGTTTATGTTTGTTTGTTTGTGTGATTGATTCAGGAACGCCCGGTTTCACAAGATGACTGGTTAGTAAAAGATCACCAAAGATCACTAGAGAAGTCATGCAAAAAAGCATTAGTTGTTTATTCAAGTTTAATAGAAATAAATAGAACAATAACATCCATCCTTTAATCCCTGGATGTGTCTAACATGTTCCTCTTTCTTTCCCAGTTTGGTCATTGATAACAGTGTTAGGGGATCGCTGGACACGCTGGACATTAAAAGGTA